TCCAAGATTAAAATTGATAGTTCTAAGATTAAAGTTGGAATTACCAAGTTCCATGTTGACAATTCCAAGATTAAAGTTGATAATTCCAAGATTAAAGTTGGAAATTCCAATATTAAAGTTGATAATTCCAAGATTAAAGTTGATAATTCCAAGATAAAAGTTGGAAATTCCAAGATTAAAGTCGACATTTTGAAAAAAAAATAAAAAAGGGTGGCCCTAATACGCTTCCGTACTAAACCCTAAAATACCTGTTCAGCATATTTTTATAACTTTCTTGGTCCTAATTGTAATGTGTGCATCTTTGCTGTCAAGTTAATCATCCATTCTCATCATATGGGTTTTATATCAGTCTTAAAATGCTGTAATTTTTTCAGTAATTTCATAGTTTCATGGTCAACTTGATGACTGTAGCCAAGTTTGGTTGAATTTGGCCAAGTAGGTTCAGAAGAGACGATTTTTTTAAAAGTTAACAGACGACACACGCAAAGTGATGAGAAAAGGTAGATCGGGTGTCTTTTTCTGAACATCCTTTCTGGGCATGTTGTAAAATTACTTTATAGCTTTTAAAATATTTTACCAAGTATCATTCAATATACATCAGAAACATCTTAAACTTGAAATTTAAGGATTAAAGTATCAAAAAATTGTATTTTGTTAATTGTATTTTTAAACCCTTTTCAAGGACAGATGATTATATTGGATTTGATAGAACAATTTGAGTTATATTTTTAAGGCCCATGACTCCCTTTTTTTATTTGATATTTCGGAAGTATTTATGAAAAGCTATTTTCTCATTAAATTTTAACCAAATTTATTGACGAATGTTTTCTCAAAATTAAGTTTTCCCTATATAACGCATATATTTGTTAATTTCAATGTATTTTAACGAGAAAAAAAACAGGTCCGGGACCCCCAGTTTTTGTTATGAAATTTGAAAGTACATCGACCCGGAAGTCTTTTACAGAAGTTTAAGAAAAATCTATAGTCGAAAATTTAGACACCCCAGCTACCTTTAAAAGTCATGGTTCAGTGATTCCCTATATAATCAACCAAATTTTTCCCACATAAGGGGGGCACGGGCCCCCAGCCCCCCCCCCCCCCCCCCCCCCTGGATCCGCCTATGAAATTGAAGTGTTTACAGTATTCTTATAAAATTCTTGAGATACATGTATAAACTTTCAGTGCTTAGAATATTAAAACATCATATTGAATGTTAATTTCATCAACAGCGTAAGGAAGTTATCCAACTTCTAAATTTGTTTATTCTGATTTTTACATCTGCACAATAAAGTGTAACTCCATGTAATCTTGGATGCAATGAAAGATGTGTAGGCCTTATAAAAGAGAATCATTTCATTGTTATCTTATTAATTTTGTCAGAAACATATTATTCATCGCATTTCCTTAAAGTGTCAAAATAATAAAATTTTCATTCACTAAAAGGAGTTTATCAAAGTAATCCTTATTGTAGATAGTTGTCCCATTGAAAATCATATCACATCTCCTGATTTTCATAATGTTTCAGCTATTTTTTTTTAAATTCAACAGTTGAATGGCTTAGCCGAGTAGCAATTTCATATATTTTAAGCAAAACTTGAACCTTTATATTATAAAAAAATGTAGATAATGTGAAAATATCACAACATCGTGGTACTGAAAGTTTCATTACAATGCAAAAAGTAGTAAGTTTATTATATTACAGTTTTTCGGATTGAAATGCACTCCTCATGAGTGTTCAAATTGATACCACATTTTTCTCAAGGTAGAATCATCAAACTTGGCAATAATATACCTCTGGGGATAGACAAAACAGTACCATTTTTTTTTATATAATTCGCCTTGTCGGAAATACGAGTGAAAACAGTGCAAAATTCCTGTAGGATATTATTTTCTACCAAAGGGTTTTTAAAAATCCTATCGGATTTTAAGAAATCCTATAGGATAAAGTCATAATCCGGTAGGATATTTTTTATTTTAAATTGGATATTAAAATCAATTCGGATATTTTTATCCTATAGGAGAATGTATTATTGTTTCATTTTTCATCATAATTACATTTTACAAAGCGAAATATTCATTTGATATCTTTATACTACATAATTAATTAAGGTAAATCCTTTGAATAAACTTATTCTAAAATGTTACCGATTCAACACTGTAATTAGATCTTTGGATATTGTTTTTATTGGTATAAATATTGATTTTGAAATTAAAACCATACTAAATAGTATTGTTATATACATATACGATTCACGGTACTTCAATCTGTCGATACCAATACAAGGTCATGTTTTTCTCTGACTATTAATGACGTCTTTGCTAAATCCATTGGATGTTGGATGTGTACTGATTGATATTTTAGTCTTAGATACATTATTTTTTTAATAAGTTGTTATTGGCTTTGAACTAGCGAGTACTCTCAGATCTGTACTTTGTGCCTTTTTTGTTGTTGCTAGAAATGTATAAATACCCTGCCACGTCCGGTCTGTGTTTTTGTTAGATGTTTTTCTTCTTTGTATCGATCTGATGAGTTAAGCGCTTTTCAACTGATTTTTATAGTTTATTCTTATGTTGTGCTGTAACACCACTGTCCCAGGTTAGGGGAGGGTTGAGCGCTCACAAACATGTTTAACCCCGTCACATTCTTTATGATCCTGTCCCAAGTCAGGAGCCTGTAGTTCAGTGGTTTTCGTTGGTTCATGTCTGTCATATTTGTTTTTTCGTAAATTGTTTTGTTATAAATTAGGCCTTTAGTTTTCTCAATTGAATTGTTTCATATTTTTTTATATCGGGGCCTTTTATATCCGACTATACGGTATGGTTTTTTTCATTGTTGAAGACCGTACGGTTGCCTATTATTGCTTACATCCACTTTATTTGAACTTAAGTGGATATTTGCCTCATTGGCAATCATACTACATCTCCTTATTTTTATTTTGATACACTATTTGCCTATCATTACTATATCGTTATATTTAAAAGCTGTGATTTGTCAATTTCTGTCTATTATTTCAATTATAATATAAAATACGTATGATATAGGTGATACTTTGTTGCAGATCTTTGATGGTTTAAATTTTTCTACATTTTTTTTCAGACTCGCGATGATTTATAACTTGACATATTGTAGAAATGCACCTGTCTATTGTTGAAGACTGTACATGTATTTGATTTTGTTTTTATAATTCATTCCATTTTCCTGGTCATTGTTTCTGTCCTGTTTGAAATGAAAATAAAAAGGAATACAACAAAGGAGGTACAGAAATGAGTAAAACAGATTAAATATTGAATGATCATTATTGAAAGGTAAGTCATAGTTTTGAACATGTTGAATAATAAGATGTTATGATAAAAACAACTGCAGTCCCTCAGACCGGCCACTACATATTGTAGCAACCTGGTGAATGTGCATACATTGGACTACATCCTCAATGGATATACATTTGTGGTTACATCAGGTTGATAAAAACATGCACTGACTTCAGCTAAATGCCACTGAATTAATTGTTTGTACCTGTAGTTATGTTACCCAAAATACATTGACCTTGGGCTACATCTTCAGTGGATATATATTTGTTCTTTCATCTGGTGGATGAAAACACGCACTGACCTCATCAAAATGCAAATGTATTGTGTGTACCTTTTTTTTTGTTATCCAAAGTGCATTGACCTTGGGCTACATCCTCAGCCGGTGGATATACATTTGATTTTGTTCTCACATCAAGTAAATGAAAACATGTACAATCTCAATTAAAATGCCTTTTTTGTTATCTGTTATTCTGTTATTATAGATTAAGGTGCTTTTCATGTGTGACCTTTTACATATGTTTTGTTATTCCACTCATCAACATTAAAGTGAGGAGCATGTGGAGGGTGGAGATGAAAAATAAAAAAGAATGTGTCCTAATATACTATAACTCATTTAATTAAAGCGTATCATTGAAATCTTTAAACTAGGCTTTTTGGTTTTGACGATAAGGTTTACATGACAAGAAAACGAGAAAGTTGTATATCTTCTTTGTTCATCCGCCCCAAAAGAAGTACAGTTCTTATGGTCCTTTATTCAAAAGTTAGTAGAACTGAGGACAGGAAATTATATATATTGTAAATACTAGTAAATAGATTTGATGCTTTCATAATTGTTATATGGATGTGTTAATCTCTCGTTCTGCGTTTTGTTTTATCTCTGTTTGTTGTGTTCTATGTTAATTTCGTTACAATTCTTTTTATATTTATATGATAATAAAATATGTAGTATTTAGTATTTTCAATTTTCGCTTTCAAATATATGTTCCCAGTGTACCTGACGACTGTCTTTCCGTAAGCACGTGTCGTGCTCACTGAAAAAAACGGAGTCATGCATTTATTTGCCATCACGGGTGCTGGTACCGCTGCTAATAAACAGTTATTCCTGATAGTGATCAAATACCCAGATCTAGTGTGCAAGGAGTCTGGCACTTAATTGCATTGTATTTTAATTGCATTTTTCAAATTTCGACCACCGGTCCATCTTATATTTATATACGGTGGCCCCTCTGAGCCTCCCTTTTTAAATTTCTGGATCCGCCACCGGCAGAGAGGTATAGTCGGAACATTTATTATTCAAAGGAAACAATTTGACAGTAAATCTTCTAGTTCATCAATTATGTAATTGTTCTTATTGTTACATTTGTAGAAAGACCTGAAATGGTTTCGGCGGCTTTGTATAGACGCAATCTAACGTTTTAATTTTTAGCTCTTTTTTTTTTATACCGAATAATGAAAGTTATTTCAGAGGATCGATATAAAACTTTTATTTCAAATAAATATTTGTGTCTAAGAGGACATGCACACCCGTGATAAGCTATGTTTTCAAGCAAACTATTTTTTGTTGACAGAATTCCTACTACTTTGAACATCTAAGTACTAATCCAATTTGAAATTCAAGTATTTCAACAGTTTGTAAACAATCTTGAAATCAATAAAACTAGACAGTGTATAATTAGCCGGATGCAGAATTGACGGGGAAGTAACCTTCCAATATTAATGTCATTAAGAGATGCAATTGTGCATATTTCCACTGGAAGTAAATGAATCAGTTTGATAGAGGGCCAAACACGTAGCTCTCTCATACGTTAATTCATTTAAAACAGGTAATTTTAACACATAAACACAGTAATTCGACTGTGTAATGTATCATGTTGTTAATGTATGTCAATTTTCTCGTTGGTAGTTTACAAATATTATTATGATAATAAATGCATATTTGGTAACATGGCGTCTGCATTGCATATTATGTCTGAAATGTAGGAGCGAAATCGAAATACAGCTACTTGTAAGTAACAAAAATACTACAAACTTTGCTAGTCCTAGAATAGCTCCGATCGTTTTGCATTACTTGGCAAAACTTAAGAACTATTAAGTGGGCTTTGGTAACTTGATGACTCCATGCTTTCTAATGCATAATTCAACATCTTAAAAAAAAAAAGATACAATGAGACTCACTTTGACCATGGAAGCATAATATATCAAGCTCTATAAGGTTGTGTACGAATCAAAAACTTACCATTATACAAGTAAAATTCGTAAACTAAAATAAACATTAATATATCAAAATTATGGCTGATGAGGTTCCTAACTTGTGACAGGCACAGTAAACTTTAAGGGTAAAACTAGCTTTATTAGGATCTCAACCCTCTCTCCTCTTATAAACATTGATGAGTGGACTAACACACAGTACACAAAAGAACATGATCTAAAATCGGTGAAGAGAAAGTACTTCAATCTGTAATAAGGTCATATTACACATAATTATCAGGTCTAAAGATAGCAATATTCAACATTCAATCTATCTACACGGAAATAATTCAACTGATGCGGTTGCTTAATTGAAATTATATAAATGTATAAGAATGAAATTATGAAATTTCTTTTGTGTTTCATATAGATTCCCGAAATATTCGCTAGACAAACAAACTTCATAAAGCGAGTTCTGTACCTGTGATCATAAATCGAATGCTTAATATATAAAACTTTTGCAGCTTATCTAACAGTTAAAACGTTTAAGCAGATCTAATGTTGCTGCTTAAAATGGTATGATGCATCATCTCTCTCTCTCTCTCTCTCTCTCTCTCTCTCTCTCTCTCTCTCTCTCTCTGTGTTTTCTACCTCGTGTGGTCAAACTATGGGTAGACTTTATTATTTGAAAGGCGATATTTCTGTTTCACACGATTCCCTCAATGTTTTGTTCGATACCTTGATTTGTTTCTTCTTCATCCATGTGTAAGATTTGAACATCGGTTCACTATTGTTGACTAAATTTGCAGTCAAATGTTTGTGGATTACTAAAAAAGGAGATGTAGCGATTACAATAGGTAGCTATGAAGAATCAAAATATTTTTAGTTGAACTTTTACTGCATGTATGCAGATAGAAAAAAAGAAATTCATCCTGGCATTCAAAATGTTTTCTTGTTGTCATAGTGTTGTTTGCCTGATTTCGACTTTTGGTGTTTGATTGCCTCATTGGTTCTCTTTTTCTTTTCCATAGCAAGTTTTGTACCATTTGGTATTTTAAAGAATTCAGATCTGTGAGAGTTTGAACTGCTTAGAAAACGGAGTATTTAAAAATATCAAACTTAAATAATGTTGAAGTGCATAAATTTAGTGACAGTTCTACCATATAAAAAGAGAAATGAAGGATACCAAAGGGACATTCAACCTCATAAGTCGAAAATAAACCGAAAACGCCATGGCTGAAAAAGGAAAAGACAAACAGACAAATAACAGTACACAAAACACAACATAGAAAGCCAAAGTCTGAGTAACCACATGTGGCACCCGTCGTGTTGCTCATGTTAGTACAAACCCGGTGATAAGTCACATTCGTGGAAAAGGGGACGGGATTGTAGGTACGACAATTGGAACATATCCGTTGTCATCTGTGAAACGGATATTTCATAACGATTAACCAACTCCTGATGGCGTCAGTAAAATTTACCAAGGGACGATTTCAACTTCACCACTTGGAACCCTTGGTTTAATAGCTTCCTTGTGAGCAGCAACCCTCTATCAAGGAAACCATGATAGGAAGTACAAGCCCTGGAATATCGTATCAACTGGGAGATATATAAAATTGAGAATGGAAATGGGGAATATGTCAAAGAGACAACAACCCGACCAAAGAGCAGATAACAGCCGAAGGCCACCAATGGGTCTTCAACGCAGCGAGAAAATTCCGCACCCGGAGGTGGTCCTCAGCTGGCCCCTAAATAAAATTGTGTACTGGTTCGGTGAAAATGGACGTCACACTAAACTCCAAAACATACAAAGGAACTAAAATTAAAAAAAACATACAAGACTAACAAAGGCCAGAGGCTCCTGACTTGGGACAGGCGCAAAAATGCGGCGGGGTTAAACATGTTTTGTGAGATCTCAACCCTCCCCCTATACCTCTAGCCAATGTAGAATAAAGAAACACATAGCAATACGCACAGTAAAACTCAGAGCACAGTTGGTTCCCATGGGAATGCCGATTCTTTGTTGAAAAACACGTCCTCCAAACGTAACAAATACGTTGTCAATCAAGAAATCAAGCATCTTGATAATGTAAGTTTTTGCTGTTTTAGGTTAAGAAGACTTTTGCTGATTGTCCCTATGTACAGAAATGCATCATACTTGCACAGTGGTTCCATTGTTGCTCTTCCTGTTAACATTTTGGACAGCACAAGGTATTTTAATTAGCTTAGTGAAGATAAACTGTTGTGGTTCGAGACTAACTTAGATCATGAAGTACTTGGTAAATTTCAATTAAGATACTTTGATATTGAATCTTCTCCAATCTATTATTCATGTAAATTGCTGAACGAATTTTGCAATTTCCTCATTCAGAGATCACCTTAGCACCCAGTCTTTGATAGAACCACGTAATAGGCTTATAAGTGGGTCTACATGACATGTCAACCAAATGTTATGAAATTTTGCACATATGTTATGATAGTCAAGAGAAACAAAATTCTAACTTAAAAATTTGATTTAAGGCTATTTTTAGATTTTGCAGCGCCATCTATTGGAAAAGGCTTAATTTCCCAAAATTTCCACGAAAATGTCACAATTTTGTTACTCTGAATATGCTAGATATGGTTTTGTTTAGCTGATATTTGAACTGATTTTTATAACAAGCATCATTCGTCCTTCGAAACTTGACAAAATGTTTTTGCTTGAGTATAGCTATATTTTGGGGCTGACCGGTCTAAAAAGGGCATTTTGGACATTTTTTGGATACTTCCTAAAAAGATCAACAAAAAGACACGAAATCTTGTAAAGTGCAATGAATTTTTTAATGTTTTAAATATTTCTATAAAGGTTTACATGTGTGCTATAAGTTTTATGATTTTTGAGCTGGGGTCTCTTACACCGTTACCATGGCAACGGAATAAAAATGTGTAATTTTCACGTATTTTTCACAATTATCCGTGTATTTAATCATGAAAACTTATTTATCTATTGACACTGGCTTATGATATTTGGCATGAAGGTGTATTTCAATAAGACAGTGTATCTCAAAAAAATTAAAACCGTCAAATGACCTTGACCTTTGACCTCAAGGTCAAAATACTTGATTTTTTTACATTTTCTTATCTGGAGCACACCTTTTCCTCTTCCATGACAAATTCTTTTAATAATTGACACACAAGTGCAGCATCTCAATATCATGTGTCGCGTACCACGGATGATGACCTTGATCTTTGACCTTCAAGGTCAAATAAAAAGTCAAGGTCAAATATTTAATTTCATATATCACCCTAAAACCAAACATATTCATTCTTGCCATGTCAATATGAAAGTGAAGAGATGTGGACTGATTGCTTATGAGACAACTATCCACCACAGTTAAAATGAAGTGGTAGTAAGCAATTTATAGGTCACAGAACGTGCAAGACCTTTCCAGTGCAGCTAAAGATTTTTCCCTGGGGATCATGCCCCGTCCCTCATAAATTATTGTTGTTATTTAGATTTATCTAAAAAAGGGTCGTGAACCCCATCCTTAACCCATATTTAATCTAAATTGTCTTTCTAATTCATCATGGGGGACATGCCCTGCCCCCTACATACCATTGATGGTAAAAAAAGCTTGAATTATATTCATATCCCTACCTCTAAATCATATATATATATTCTCAATCAACATGGCAACACCTTTGAGTACACCATATATGTTTTTGCTGTGGTTCGTGCCTCTTATATATCTGTTCAGATACCCACCCCTAATCCATGTACTCTAATGAATATATAATGACAAGACCAATTAAGTGTAACATATATTTTGTCCCTCATGCCCTGTCCCCTCGTTTCATAAATTGGTAAATATATTGTAAACAGTGTATATTTCCACGCATTAACCATATATTCTTACTTCCAATGACAATCTTTTTTTTACCAGAGTGACTTCTACAGGGGTGACATTAGTTTTAATTCACTAAAACGGTTCTACCTAGTTGTAATTAAATTCAAAGACAATTTGGTAGAATTCTGACTTTATGCAGAAAAATGTGAAATACTGTGAATTCAGAACTTAATGTGTGTAATATTATTATTGCGTATTCATGGTGACCGTCAAAAATGTGAGATTGATTAAAGTAAATTTAAATCATATTGAATATTGTACAAAAAATGAAATGCAACTAAGGTCATGTCACAGTCTGGGCCATATAGGGCTTATTACATGGTGTGGGTTCCCTGTTTGGTGCAGATCGTGTGGCGACCTCTGGGTGTACATTTTTGGTTAGTTAACTTCTGAGATGAAATATTGTCTCCTTGACATATACCCAATATCTGTTCTTGTTGTCCCCCTCAGCATCACATTGCGGCCGGGAATATATAAATGCTGTTCGTTCGTCTGTCCGTCCGGATTGTAAACTTTTTAGCATAATTAATCGTTATCTAATTTGGATAAAATTTATGCAGTAGCTTTCTACAGACAACCAGTCAAGTTTGAAAATGAGCCTTGTTCAAAAATTTAGTAGACGGGTGACATTGAAAATCTGTTGTGTTATTCATATTGCAATAATTTTTAAATTTACAGAAATATATTTTGAAGGTCTCGATCAGAAAGTTTCGACATGCATTGTACATGTAAAAAGTCAGCTTGTTAGATTTCCTAAATAAAATAAGAAAACCATGAAGATTTGACAAATAAAGGCTGGGTTTTGAAAAAGCTCAAGAAAGTTGTAAAATTTCCCCTAAATTGAAAGAGAAGTTATTATAATACCACATCTTCTTATTTTTATATTGTATGCTTTTTTGAGCAAGGAAAAGACCTTTGCAATCGCCCTCAAAACAACACCATATAAAATGTTTCCACCAAAAGAATGGTTATCATCAAATTAGATCAGAAGCTTATTTGGAAACTTTACTTTAAAGAAAACAAATGAATTGGTGGACAATTCTAATTATAGTGAAAACAATTGATGAAGCAGATGTAGGACATGATTCAGACTTCATTGAAGTACTACTGTAAATATTGAATATGTTAAACTCAAGATCAGTTGAGGACATTATAACGAGAAGTTTTGGCTTCTTCTTCTGTCTAATATATGTGTTTATATAACAGAAATATTTGTGAATGTATCATGACATACATCTGTTTATCAAATTGTGAAGCAACAGATGTATGTCATGATACATTCACAAACATTTCTGTTATATAAACATATATATTAGACAGAAGAAGCCAAAACTTCTCGTTATAATGTCCGCAACTGATCTTGAGTTCAATATATTCAATATTTACAGTAGTACTTCAATGAAGTCTGAAGTTTCACAATTTGGTAGTAAAATGATTTTCTTGAGTGTTTGGTCCTTGGATCCAGCATGAACTGTACATTCAAGTCTGGCAGTTGAATTCTAAGTTTGACTACATTTTGGCAGTCTAAGAATCATGTCTAGTTAGTTTTGTAAACACAAGCTTTTTATCTAATGGAACAGATTGCCCACTATAAAAATACAGTCTCTGAAATTATTTTCAAAGTACAATTTAAGAACAAAGGGCCAATGTGAGCTTATCCCATCAATTGGCGTCAGTCGTCCGTTGTGGTCGTCCATTAAATTTTACAAAAATCTTCTCCTCTGAAACTATTGGGCTAAATTTAATCAAACTTGGCCACAATCACCATTGGGGTATCGAGTTTTAGAAATTGTGTGCGATGACCAACCCCTATTTTCCAACCAACATGGCCGACACGGCTAAAAATAAAACTTACGGGGTAAAATGCAAGTTTTGTCTATTATCTTGAAAACTGCTATCATAATAGATAGAGAAAATCTGAAAGGGGCAGGAATTTTTAAAATGTTGAGATCCCTCTACCAACTATTTACTTCAAAACTGTCAGACGAGTTTGTGTTGGAGTTTTTGCCCTTAAATGACATAATGTTTACCTATTATTTTAAACTCTGCAATAGATAGATACTTTACAATACAAAATTCGTAAGGGGTTTCTCGGATTCTTGTGTCTCGCCGTTGATTGCTGCTGTCAGTGTTAAAGTGTATTGTTGACCTAAAAAGTGAGTCCATTTATCAGTAAATACTAAATTTTAAAAAAAATCAATTTTTACAGAGGATGACCTTGAGGTCATTCCGCTGTATTGCTATCGCCTAAATTTCCATTATGCAAATTAGTTTTGGGATTTCAACCGATCTATAAAAATTATAGATCCGCGGTCATTACAAGGGAAAAAAGTGCATTTTTATACCTGCGATTCCGTTCTCCGTTCGTACGATGTTTCATCAAAAAATGGAATCATTTCAGTTGTTGATTTAGTACTGAAAATTTGACTGAATTATCTCCTTATAAAATACGGTTTTATATGTTTAATAGGTGTTTAAGAAAGAGGTCAGGTGCTCATGTTCATTCATAAAATTATCGTTCATTCATGAATTTATCGTAAAATCAAAATCACTACACAGGTCACACAGGTTGTATACGTAGTGTCAAAAGATTACCTGTATAGTATCTAAAAATAGACAAACTTAACTGACTCCCCTTACTGGACACTGATTCTCAGCAAATCGGGACCATTTGCCAACATTATACTTGGAAAATAAATTTCTGTAAACCAACTTTTAATAATGCTCAAATGATTCGTATATATATGATTTGAAAGTTTCCAAAGTGGTTGATCTTAGCTCTTACTGTGAAAATAATATCGTGGTCAGGACTATGGGTCACTGTTTTCCACATAACAGATACGTTACCGTCATGTTTAATTTCCTTAGCAAACGAATTTTCATACAAAGTGTCATTGCTTAGATTTTTTCCTCCAAAACTATTCTAGAGGTACCTGAGATGCTATTAATAGTCATAAATCTTAAGTAATAGACTCTGAAAAGTTAATGAATTGTTCTTGAATCCATATCTTGATAAAATATAACTTTGAAGACAAAATACATAACAATTAGTTGTTTTTGATAAAATATGTATCAAGATATTACTCAAAGTATGTTTAAATATCATTTATCAACAACTACTCATGATAATTTCATATATTTTTTCAAATGTTTATGTATGTTATCTTTTTTTCAACTTGGAAATGAACATATCACGTATCTGTTGAGAAGACAATTTTTATATTAAAAACTCTATTATATCGGTTCTGGAACTATTAATTATAAATTAACTTTAAATATATAATATTTGAAATCAAAGAAGTGAGCGTAACGCTTCAAACTCGA